GAGGACGTGTAACGTTTCACATTCCTGTGATCAAGTTCCTGAACTCTGACAGTCTGGACATGAAGGTTTACTCCTCGACTTCTTGGCCTTAAGCATGATGAAAATATGAAGAAAAAGAAGAAAAGAAAGACTAATGTAAATGTACATACATTTGTAGGCGGAATACCTGGGAGACTCATACAAGAGCCTGATGATTCACTTGCCTTGATTGAGTTGCCTCTACGGTCTCTCTCTTTGGTGGAGGACGTGACTGATGACATTATTCCAGATGTGTCTTCGTTATGAGAGAATTTGGCTCCTCAGATTTCCTCTGAGTTGGCAGTGTTTTCTTATAACAAACCTACTTGTTCGGCTAACATGGTGTCATTTGAAGGTGGCTTACCACCAGAACTCGTTATCGAAGCGGACCCAGTGATTGAGGAAGTGAGGAATGTCCATGCACATTTAACCCCTCAAATGATAGAGGAAAAGAAAAGAAGAAATGTCCAGGAGGCTCTGATTGAAATCCTTGATGATAAAAATCCAGAAACCCTATCGAAGAGAAGCAAACAAGGGAAGATGAATTTGTTTTTATTTAAGAGTGAATTAGAAGATGAAACAGTAATTACTGATGTGATTATTAAGATGTCGGAAAAAACAGAAGTGACATTATCCTTCAAGGAGGCAATGACACTAGCATCCAAGTTGAGAGAGGAATTGAAGAAATTAATTGAGAAGAAGAGAATGCAAGTTAATTACTCGGGATCATTCTTTCCTAGTCAGGTTAACAAGACCTTGTCTGGATGCAAGATGAGGTTTGCAACCGTGGGTTGTGGCTACTTAACGATCTACATTAATCAAGTGAAAATTCGAGCCTTAGTTGATTCTGTGGCAGAGATGATACTTATTTCTCATAAGGCAATGAAAGTTTGTGGACTGACGATTGATAGGCCTGCAATGCAAACGCTAAGCAATATTGTTGGAGAGCTCTTCGTAGCAGGATTTATTGACCATCTGCCCATTAGAGTTGGCTGATGTCAGTCGAGTTATTGAGATTTGTGATACCAGACTTGGATCATGACTGTATTCTGGGCACCCCGCTCTTACATAGGATGGAGGTTGTCCAGTTCTTCAGTCATGAAGGGTCATCTTGGATCAGTCTGCAAAACCCGGAAACTTCTCAAGAGCAGACTTTCGTAGTTTGTCCGGCCTACCATCACAAACACAAGATATCAGTTAACTCAATTACAAGGGAAGAGTCCGTTGAGCGGGTAAGGAAGATCAAGAGAAAAGATAAACAAGAATTTAAGGAGGAAGTCTCGGTTGATAGCAATCAAATTTCAAAGATGGTGAAAGCTTTGAAATTTGCATCAACTCATCATTTTTTAGGAAAATAGTCACTGGGTCGAGAAAAAAATATAAGCCCAAGGGAGTGAAGAAGAACCCAGTGACGATCCTAATAGAAAATGATTATGACGAAACAATGGAAAAAGAGAGGAGAATTATTAAAGCATTAAGAAAATCTACGAAATTTGGGAATAGAGTCACTAGGGAGAGGTTTGGCACGATGAAGATAAACTTTGATCAGTTTATCTTGCCTAAAAAGAAGGAATATATCTTCAAGGTGTATCAAGAGTTCTCTGGTGCATTCTCTTTTAATGATGGAGAAAGAGGGCGGTTGGATGTGGATATGATTAAGATGGCAAAAATCTGGACAGTTTATCACATCCGATGGAATGACAAACCAACCAAGTATGCCCTGAAAGAAGAGGCAGAAGTGATAAAGTATCTCAACAAAAAAATAGCATCTAATGTTGTTGAGCCTGCTGATGGACCGTATGCTAACCACTGATTTTGCTTTTGGAAACCAAGGGGTGGATTGAGATGGATACAGAATCTCCAGAAGTTCAACTCAGTAACGGTACGTGACGTAGGTAACCTCCCTAATGCTGATCTCCTTTCTAAATCCTTTGTTGGTCGATACATTTATTCTTCAATTGATTTATATTCTGACTATGATCAGTTTCTCATTGATCCCACTAGTCGGTCAATGACTGTTATGCACACGCCAAGATGCCTCATTCAGATGTGCGTGGTGCCCAAAGGTTGGACTAATGGTGTGGCAGTGGTACAAAAGGATATGATCAAAGTCATGCAGGATATCTCGCCTGAGATAATCAGTCCTTATATTGATGATAATCCTATGAAAGGACCTATGGTAACAGATGAAACTTTGGTTGGGGATAGCGTGAGGAAGTTTGTCTGGGAGCATGTTGAAGGTGTAAAGCTGGTCCTAGAAAGACTTCAGAAGTATAATCTGACTGTCAGTGGACCAAAGTCGCTTCTCTTCCAAGCACATGTCATCATTCTGGGCTTCATATGTTTCTCAAAGGGTAGGAGCCCTGACCCCAAGAAGATAGACAAAATTTTGAACTGGCCTTTGCCCCTCAAGCGGGTGACATATGTCAGAAGTTTTTTTGTTGTCTGTGGGTTCTGGAGGATTTTCATACCTCATTTTGCTACCCTTGCAGAGCCACTGAGGGAAATTGTGAGGCAAGGGACTGATTTATATTGGACTGAGAAAAGACAGACTTCTGCAGAAACTCTGCACGAAAAATTAAAAGATGGTGGTATTGTGTTGGGAGTGTTTTTCTATGATGATGAGGAAGAAAGAACCTTCATCATCGAGGCAGATGGAGGATCAGTTGCTCTGGGTGGTGTACTCATACAGAAGGATGAGAATGGTAGAGAAAAATCTCTAAGGTTTGAGAATAGGACTCTCAATTCCACAGAAAGAGGCTACACCCAGTTCAGGAAAGAACTGTTGGCCATTATCCACTGTCTCAGGTGCTTCAGACACTATGTCCTTCGAAGGAGATTCAGTCTGAGAACTGATGCATCTGTTGTGATAGGTGCAATTAAGAAGGACCAACAAGTAGATCCAACAGTAAGCAGATGGATAACCTTCATTTGGGCTTTTGATTTTGTCTTGGAAAAGATTCGAACTGAGAGAAATAGGGCAGATGACCTAAGTCGAATCGAATAGAGGAAAAATGAAGAAGAAGATATTGAAAGAACTATTGAAGAATCTTCATATGTTGATAATTTTCAGGATGAGAAAGATGACGAAGATTATGAAGTACCAAACTCCTATAAGTGGAGTTTATGGCCTGAAGAAAGAGACAGCTGAGGAGAAATCCTTGATGTTTATGTATATAAATCAATTATCGGGAAAGAAGGGGAGCAAGAACCGAATGACTAGTATGCAAAGATCAATGCTGCAGTTGTCGTTGTCCATGACATAGGAGAAAACTCAGGCTTAAAGAATGAAGATGAAGATGAGAAAAAAAAAAAATAGATATTATTGATCTTTGAGAAGTACGATGAAGTTTACCAAGAGATTGGAAAGAAAATGGACAAAGAACGGCTGAAGGAATATTATTGCAAAAATTCAAGGAAAAGGTTCAAACTAAAACGAGGTCACTTTTTTGTGGATGGTAAGGGAGGACTACCTCCACTAAAAGTGGTCTGTGGTAAAGAGAGACAACTTGAGACAATTGTTGCTCTGCATGAGGGGGTTGCAGGTGACCACAGAGCTACAGAGGCAACCTACTCTAAGACTGTCAAACTCTACTTCTGGCTTGGCATGAGAGACATGATTTTCAGATTTTGTAAATCATGTGTGTTATGTCAGAAGAGGTCTACCACGAGGATGATTGAACCTTTATTTCTCACTATCCTGGTAGAGCCGGAAAGTCGACTTCATTTACATCTCATCACCGTATCATTAGGCAACGGTAGGATGAGATATATATTGAACATGAGAGATAATTTATCTGAATATGCCGAGGCAAAAGCTATGAAAAGGAAGACGACCGAGCAAGTGGCTGACTGGATAGAGGAAGTCTATCTCGGGTATCCTTTCATCAGAGAGTTTGTCTAAGACAGAGGATCAGAGTTCAGAAATGAGATTGTAAGAAGAACCACTCTCAGGTTGGCTGTCAAAATTCGATATATGACTACCTATCATCCTCAAGCGAATGCACCTGTTGAGAGGGGTCACAGAACTCTGAAAGATTCATTGGTCAAGTGGTGTGAAGAAAATCTCAGTAACTGGTCAAAAGTACTAAGGGTTGTTGTCTATGCAGACAACATCACTGTCAAGAGAACTACTAATTATGCTCCATTTACCCTGTGGTATGGTCGATATGCTACCTTGCCTATTGAAAACATTGACAAGACATGGTCAAGTCAAGAGAGTGACAAAGACTATTATATTTCAGAGTTTCTTCAAATCAGAATGAAGCAAATATCAGAGGTTGATCAGAAAGTTATGGATGTCGCAGAGAGAATGACATCCAGCAGATTATCAGATCAAGAGAGATGGAACAAGAAAATATATATAAGAAAAGATATATAAGAAAAGAGAAACTGAAAGTTGGTGACGTTGTCCTTCTGTTCGATAGTTCTCTTGAGACCCAGTGGACTAAACGGTTGGAGCCCAGATGACTTGGTCCCTACAGAATTACAGGTGAAGCAGAAGACAAAGTTTATGAGATATCTAAGATGGATGACTCAAGGGTCCACGATATGGTATCAGGGTCAAGACTTCGTAAGTTTATCTTCAGAGACCCTGACCTAGTTCCCACAATGACCGGAAAGAAAGGAAAGAAAGGACAGTCATCCGGATATCTAAGATCACTGGGTCCGGCTAGAAGACAACTTCGGAAAATTAAAAATAAGTACAGTGAGCCTGCAAAACTCAACCTTCAGCAGACTCTGATCATTCTTGCATTTATCAGTTTAGTATTTCAGGCTTTCAGTATGTCAAGTTAATTTTGTTTCAGCAAGTAAGAGAGTTCAAAAAACTAAGTTTCTTTGATGCAGAGCTACAGTCGGTCCATGAGTGTCAAGTCTCTCAATCAATCAATCAATCAATCAATCAATCAAATCAATCGATCAATCAAAGTGATTGATTTAATCGGATCTTGATTTTGAAATCAAGATCCGACTGAATCAATCGATTTGATTGATCGATCGATTTGATTGATTGATTGATTGATTGATTGATTGATTGATTAATTGATTGATTTGAAAAAAAAAAAAAAAAAAAAAAACACCAATCACAACGAAGGACGCGTGGGATGGGAGGGCAAAGAGAAGAGGGAGGACACGCGGGAGGGGAGGGCGGAGATAAGAGGGAGGACGGGGGAAAGAGGAGGGTGGAGATAGGGGGAAGGACGGGCGGGAGGGGAGGGCGGAGAGGAGGGGGAGGACGGGCGGGAGGAGAGGGCGGAGATAAGGAGGAGGATGCGCGGGAGGGGAGGGCAGAGAGAACAAGGAGAACGGGGAAAAGGGGAGAAGAGGAGGAGGAGTGGAGGAAGAAGAAACCGAAGAGGAGGGAGAAGAAGAAGAGGAGAAGGAGGAGAAGGAGGAAGAAGCAGCGCACAGGGAAGAAGGATGTTCGGGAGAAAAAGAAAAAAATCGGCTATGGCTAACGGACGAGGAGAAAAACAGGAGGAGGAGAAGGAGGAGGAGGAGGAAGAAGACGATGATGAAGAAAAGGGAATAAGAGGAGGAGGAGGAGGGAGAAAATGATGACGAAAAAGAGGGAGGAGAAGGGTAGGAGGAAGAGGAGGAAAGAAGACGACGAAGAGGAGGGTGGAGAAGAGGACGAGGAGGAGGAGGAGGAAGAAGAAGCCGCACGCAAGAAATGTGGATTTTTGGGGGGAGAAAAAAAAAAACGGCTACAATAAACGAACGAGGAGGAGGAGAAGAGGAGGAGGAGGAGGTAGAAGATGACGAAGAAGAGGAGGAGTGAAGGAAGAAGAAAACGAAGAGGAGGGAGGAAAAGAAGAGGAGAAGGAGGAGGAGGAGGAGGAGGAAGCAAAGCACAGGGACGTGAAAGCCTAAGCGATGGAGGTAGTCGACGAAGAGGAGGAGGAAGAGGAAGACGAAGTACAGGAGGTTGGGGCGACGAAAAATGAGGAAGAAGAAGAGAAAGAAGAGGAGGAGGAGGAAGCCGGGGAGGAGGTGGCGGAGGAGGACGATGAAGAAGAAAAAAATGGGAAGAAGGGGGAGGGGAGCGACGGCGGGAGGATATTTTGTAACGTTTTTTCTTTTTTATCAATCAATCAATCAATCAATCAATCAATCAATCAAATCAATTGATCAATCAAATCGATTGATTCAATCGGATCTTGATTTTCAAATCGATTGAATCAATCGATTTGATTGATTGATTGATTTGACTAATTTGATTGATTGATTTAAGAGGAGGAGGAGGAGGAGGAGGAGGAGGAGGAGGAGNGAGGAGGAGGAGGAGGCAGAGGAGGCAGAGGAGTAAGAGGAGGAAGTGAAGGAAGAGGACGAGGAGTTGACGGAGGAAGAAGAAAAAGAGGAGGAGGCGGAGGAGGAGGAGGAGGAAGAGGAGGAGGAGGTAGAAGATGGCGAAGAAGAGGAGGAGTGGAGGAAGAAGAAAACGAAGAGGAGGGAGGAGAAGAAGAGGAAAAGGAGGAGGAGGAGGAGGAGGAGCTAGAAGATGACGAAGAAGAGGAGTGGAGGAAGAAGCAAACGAAGAGGGGGAAAAAGAAAATGATGAAGAAGAGGGAGGAAAAGAAGAGGAGATGGAGGAGGAGGAAGAGGAGGAGGAGGTAGAAGATCACGAAGAAGAGGAGGAGGAGTGGAGGAAGAAGAAAACAAAGCGGAGGGAGAAGAAGAAGAGGAGGAGGAGGAGGAGCAAGAAGCAACGCACAGGGAAGAGGGATGTTCGGGAGAAAAAAAAACTCGGCTAATACGTCGGTTATGGCTAATGGATGAGGAGGAGGAGAATAGGAGGAGGAGAAGGAGGAGAAAGAAAACGATGACGAAGAAGAGGGAAGAAGAGGAGTAGGAGGAGGAGGGAGAAGATGATGATGAAAATGAGGGAGGAGAAGGGTAGGAGGAAGAGGTGGAGAAAGAAGACGACGAAGAGGAGGGAGGAGAAGAGGACGAGGAGGAGGAGGAGGAAGAAGAAGCAACGCACAAGAATCGTTGATTTTCGGGGGGAGAAAAAAAAAACGGCTACGGCAAACGAACGAGGAGGAGGAGAAGAGGAGGAGAAAAGGAGGAGGAGGAGGTAGAAGATGACGAAGAAGAGGAGGGGGAGTAAAGGAAGAAGAAAACGAAGAGGAGGGAGGAGAAGAAGAGGAGAAGGAGGAGGAGGAAGCAAAGCATACAGATGACGATGAAAGCCTAAGCGATGGAGGTAGTCGACGAAGAGGAGGAGGAAGAGGAAGACGAAGTAGGTTGGGGCGACGGAAAACAAGGAAGAAGAAGAGAAAGAAGAGGAGGAGGAGGAAGCCGGGGAGGAGGTGGCGGAGGACGACGATGAAAAAGAAAAAGATGGGAAGGAGGGGGAGGGGAGCGACGGCAGGAGGATATTTTGTAACCTTTTTTTTCTTTTCTTTTTAATCAATCAATCAATCAATCAAATCAATCAAATCAATCGATCAATCAAATCGATTGATTCAATCGGATCTTGATTGATCGATTGATTGATTGATTTGATTGATTGATTTGATTGATTGATTGATTGATTGAAGAGGAAGAGGAGGAGGAGGAGGAGGAGGAGGAGGCAGAGGAGGCAGAGGAGGAAGAGGAGCAAGTGGAGGAAGAGGACGAGGAGGAGTTGAAGGAGGAAGAAGAAGAAGAGGAGGAGGAGGAGGAGAAGAGGGACACGACGAGGAATAGGAGGAGGAAGGAGAAAACGAAGAGGAGTGGAGGAGAAGAGGAGGAGAAGGAGGAGGAGGAGGAGAAGGAGGTAGAAGATGACGAAGAAGAGGAGGAGTGAAGGCAGAAGAAAACGACAAGGAGGAGTAGGAGGAAGAAGAAGAACGAGGAGGACTAGGAGAAGGAAGAAGAGAGGAGGAGGAGGAAGAGGATAACGACGAGAGGGAGGAGGAAGAGGAGGACGACGACAAGGAGAAGAAGAATAAGGAAGAGGAAGAGGAAGAGGAAGAGGAGAAGGAATAAGAGGAGGAGGACATGGAGGGTGGTTAAGGGGGGACGACTTGTCTTACTTGGCGGGGGAGAACGAGGCTGAGCGATCTTAGGCGAAGGCAGCGGCGATGCTCGAAGCTCGGGGACGAGACGACCATCAGGCAGCGCGGCTGTGGGGCGACGGGCCGTTGGTGGGGAGGAACGGGCAGGCCTCAGGCAGTACACCAAGCACAGTCCGAGACGGGGGCTGCGCGAATCAAAAAAGGCCCGATGTGGGTCGTTGATCGAAGACGATCAACGGCCCAGATCGAGCCTTTTTTTTTTGGAAACCGATAGGCCCCCTGCAAAATCCGACAGTGGGAGGATGCTCGTGCTGCCGCCCAGTACCCCGCCAGGCCCCCCAAAAACAATTCTGAGCCCTGCGCATCTTTTGCGCAGGCCCCGGAAATACTATTTCCGATATCATCCGGTGTCCACCTTCCGGCCGGAAAACCGGATATTCAGAGGGTATCCGGATATCCGGATTTTCTACTTAGCTTATTTATTTATTTATTTGTCTTTTTTTTATTTTTTTATTTATTTTCTGAATTTTTTAATTTTCGGCATTTAGAAACTTAGTGTGCTTATCTTGGTCTCTCATTTCCCTTGGCACATTCTTGACCCCATGGGGGGTAGGGAAATGCTGTTGAAATTTCCAAAAATATAAATATTATATCTCTCTTCACATTGTGTTTACTTATTTTTTTAATTATTTTTATTATTTATTTATTTACTTATTTATTTTCACTTTTCTCTCAAAATTTCACTCTTTATTTATTTTTTCCCCCGCCTCTCCCCCATACTTGCTATTTTATTTTCTTGATTAGGTCATCGGTACCCTACCCTAACCACTCAAACCCCGGTTAGGGTTTTCTTAGGGTTTTGTTAGGGTTTAGGGTTTTCATAAGCCCCCCCTACTCCCCCTTTCCATTCAGGCACCCTGGATCCGAACCACCCCTCCCCTTTTGACGGCGCCCGCGCTCGATTTACTAGCGCCGCCCGTCGCCTTCTATCTCAGACCTCCCCCTACGCCCTCCGCTCACGTGGACCTCCCCCGGCCCTCTCTAGCCCGGCCCGTTACCTCCCCATGGCCGATGGCGTGTCCCAAGCCGCCAAGGCGACGACGACCTCGGCATCGGGCTCCACACCCGTGCCGACGGACCAGGGCCATCGGCCCCAGGGGAATCTGCACACCCTCATCACCTCCCTCCTTGCGCCCTTACAGGCGCAGGTGGAGACTCTTGCCACTGGCCTGCCACAACTCCAGGACGCTGACCGTCCTTCCTCTTCTCACTCTCTCTCTTCTCCTGGCTCCCAGTCCGGGTCCCCCTCCTCTAACATGGTGGCCACGGCGAAGCTTCCCCCTCTGCCGCCCCCGACCCGACCATCCTGGTGACCGTCCACACTCCTAGCGCGGCGGCCACCACGGGCCAGGCCCTTTCTCACTTTACGGGCGCACCCGCCCAGATTCTGGTCACTATGGCCACGGGACCACAACCTGCTCCCGTGGTATCAACTTTTCCAGGTGTCCCGCTTCTCCCTCCCCTTCGCACGACCTCAGCGCCACCTGGCTCTCCCCCCTGTGGGATGCCCCACGCCGCTCGTGTGTCCACTTCCCGCACTCTTCCTCTTGCCACTCCTCGCTCGATCTACGTTCGACGAGTCGAGGACGAGCTTGCCCAGACCCGGGCCGACCTCGCCCTCTTACGCCTTCAGCCACCCCTACCCTCACAGGTGGCCACGCCTTCGGGCGCATCCCCTTCTTCCTCTACTCTTCCTTCCATGCAAGCTCGCTTCCCTCGCCCCGCACACTATCCACCCCCATCCTACCTTCTTCCTATCCCCTCGGTTGTTGCAACCTCTTCTACTGCAGCTCCCTCGTAGCCTGTCGTTGTTTCCCGCGCCGCTCCCCTATACGGCCCGAGCGTACAGTCAGCTGCGCCCCTTTCTCCAAGACCTGCGCCAACTTACTCGGCTGTGGTACAAACCTGTTCTCCTCGATCCCCTCGCCTCCAAAACGGTGGCACACCACTCGTCCGCTTGACAGACATTGCCTTGTATGACGGTACAGGGATACTCGTGTCTCGGTGGCTGCAGTCTGCCACCCGCACGCTCCAACTCATGGGCGCCCCACCCGACACGTGGGTGACTCACCTCTCCACGCGCCTGCGTGGCGGTCCTTTCGACGCCTGGGAGGATTTCTACGTGCACTCCCTTCATGAGGGTCGGACCCCGACCTTCATGGATTTTCAGGCGTTCCTCGAGGATCGTCTTGGAGCCCGGCATGACGTCACTGACGCCTTCGAGCGAGTCGTCAGCAAACGTTGGTCCCGCTCTGGTGGCGCTGCCGGCCTGAACCGCCACATTCAGGTCTTTCAGGATGCCCGCCTCATTTGTAATGTGGCGTTTCCCCCTCAAGGCCGCCCTCATCGACCGTTTCTTGGCCAGCCTTCCCCTTGAGTACCGCTCCGGGTTATGGCGATACGAGTTCACATCGGCCCCACAGGCCTACGAGGCCGCCAGGACCCATCAGCGGATGCGGGCCCATCTTCACCCCGCTTCCTCCTCCCAGCCTCAGCGTACTGGCTAAGCCCCCTCCTCCTCTCACGACACTTCCAAACGCCGCTCCCCTTTCCACAACCGCCCCCGCCGTTCCACGCAGCAGGGCCGCAACTTCTCGTGAAGCTTCAGCGTGCTCGAGTATGGTGAGCAGGACGTTGTAGCCCCGCTGTCGCCTGAGGGTGACCATAGTGATGACATCGACCTCGGCGGGGCCATCCACTACCACTTGGAGGATTCTACTCTCCCTATGGTAGAGTGCCTCCAGCTCATCCTCTCCACCTTCTCCCGGACACGCAGCTGTTTGGTTACGGTGACGCATCGCCCCCCGAGGTCTCTGAGCAGGACCTCCCTTAGGGTTTTGTCCCTCCTCGCGGTGTCCTTCCTGCTGAGGAGCGCGTAGCGATTTTGGGCCGACGTGGATGTTTGTGATGCCGCTAGGATGGTCATACCTCCTCGCAGTACCCTTACACCACCGCCATCGACCGCCACTACGCTGACCTTTCCCGCCAGCGTCGTGCTCAGTCCCCCCCCGGCGCCTCGCATCCCTGCGACGCCTCCTAGTCACGGTGCAGTGTACACCTGCGCCCTTCTTCGTAGATGGCTTCTCGACATCTCAGTCGTTGTTCATCCCTCTCGCTATTGGAGCTGCGGTATCGCACGACCCGATAGAGTGTACTCAGCCCTCTATCGCCGTACCGTTTGCGCCACCGCACACCACCATCTCCCTTCCTACCCCTCCGCGACTACCGATGTGTCGAGCCATTTGCTCAGCCCGTTGCAGCAAGCAGCTTGCGACTCGCGACGACGTTGTGTCCTCTCTTCTGGACTTGAGCATGCTCCAGGCTCGTCAGGGGCAACTCACCCTCTATGTCGCTGCACTGAATTGCCTTCTCAACATCCTCTCTGACCCTGATCGCACCCTCTCAATCATTCCAGTACAACTGGGGACCTCCGCGAGGGTGCACTCAACGTTGTAGGATTCCGGCTCTCAGGGTGACTTCATTCATCCACGTGTGGTGAAAGAAGTCCGCTTACCAACAATAGGGTCTCCGACTCCCATCTCTGTCACCCTAGGGGATGACAAGACCCAGCGCTTCTTCGATCAGACGGTCACCGACCTCCCTTTCTTCCTCACTCTCGAGCTGACTGATTGTCCCCCTGCATCTCGTCGCCACCGCTCCTCTGCACATTTCGACGTGATGGAGACGGGGTACGACTTCATTCTCGGTACTTCGTGGTCTCGTCGATTCCGCAGCACCGAGGCCAATTGGGCAACCAACACTCTCTTTCTCAAAACGAAGTGTGGACAGACATATTACGTACCTTTCATAGGTACCACCGCGACTCCACTCCCCGACCCTCCTCCCCCGGAGCCTTCCGTGCCCACACCACCTCCTACTATCACCATCACCTCGCCTCGACAGTTTGCCCACTTTATCCGACAGGACGAAGTCACCTTCCTTACGGTGAACGTTACGGATCTCTTGCACTATGTCAGCGACCTCATGTACATTGATGGCATAGTGGCATGAAACAAAGCGTGTACGCTTCGTGAAGCGGTCGACGACGATCGGGATAACATCATGAGAGTGGGGGGTCAGCGGACGATGAGGACCGATAAACTCCATCGAGATGGACTGCCAACGACCCTCAGGCATAGGAAGAGGCTGAAGCAAACCATAAGGCAGGTGGTTCACACTGTTCACCTCCTGACAGGTGGGACACTCTGCGACGTAGTCCTTCACAAAGTTCTTGCGCTTCAGCCAGACGTACAGGCGGCTCACACGAGGCAACGTCTTGTGGAAGCCCATATGATCGGCGACTACCTGGTCATAGAACTCTGTTACTGCCCGGACACGTAGTTGTCCAGTGGAGGGAACGCAAATATGAGGCTCTCTGGTGCCCTGTGAACCGTGTCAGTACACAAGACCGTTGTCCCCGAGAGAGTAGTTCGGGACGGTCTTGCCACTCTGAAGGGTCGCATGGATGCCGCGATAGTCGGGGTAGTGGCGGTACTGACTGCGAAACTCGTCGATCACCTAGTGGTCGGCGGTGGTGACCGAGATGGCAGCGAGATGGATCTGCTCCTGATCGTGGTCAGGGCGTCGGGATAACGCATCTGCAACCCGATTAGTCTCACCCTTGATGTGCTTAGTGGTGAAACTAAACTCGGATAGGTCGCGCCACCAGCGAGCCTGTCGAGGGGTGAGCTTCAACTTTGTCATAAAAACCTGGACAACAGAGTTGTTCGTGTGCACCGTGAATGGTGCCCCTTGCAGGTAGTGACATCAGTGTCGAGCGGCATAAACTACTGCGAAAACCTCACGTTTATCAGCACTGTAGTTTATCTCGGCGGGCAGAGGCTGACGGGAGTGGAAGGCTATCAGAAAATCACCGGAGCGAAACTCGACAATGTCGTCCTCGACGATGGTAGGAGAGTAGTTAATAGAAGGCTCGTCAGTAGTTGGACGAGTAGGTGTCAGGCGGGAAGCAATGGTAGGGGTAGGAGGTGGGGAGCGAGGGATGCGAGGATGAGAGGAATCAGGAGAGGAAGGAAAAATATGAGAAAACACTGCTCCTACAACAAAGTTTGACGCATCGATGGTAAGGATAAAAGGACGATCAAAATTGGGTAGGTGAAGAACCGGTGCACATATCACCGCCTTCTTGAGGACGCGGAAGGTGTCCTCGTGGAGGGGTGTCCAAACCCATGGCGGGTTCTTCCGGATGGTGGAGATAAGGACGTAGGAATACCTAGCGTATCTCTGGATGATGTTACTATAGTAGCTAGTGAGGCCTAGGAAACTGCAAAGCTGCTTGGCGGATGTGGTGACGGACCACTCCGCAATAGCAGTGATCTTCGCCTCGTCCATGTTGAGATCCTGGTCAGACATATAGTGTCCTAAGAAATTCACTTTGTACTAGGCAAAGCGGCACTTGTTCAACTTGGCGTAGAAGCCATGTCTGCGCAAGCGGTCAAGGACGTCACGGAGATGTCTAAGATGCTCCTCAAGGGTACGACTGGTACGACTGTAGACCAGGATATCATTCAGGTAGACGAGAACGTACTGCTTCAGGATGTCCCTGAAGATGTCGTTCATCGCCCTCTGGAAGATAGCGGGTGCGTTGGTGAGGCCGAAGGGCATCACTGTAAACTCGTAATGGCCGAAGCGCGATCGAAACGATGTCTTCGGCTGGTCCGCTGCAGCGACGTGGATCTGATGGTAACCGCTACGAAAATCAATCTTCGTAAAGAAGCGGTTGTCTGCTTGGCGGTCGAAAAGCTCATCGGAATGAGGCATGGGGTAGCTGTTCTTAACCGTGTAGCGGTTGAGACCACGATAGTCGATGTAGAGACGGGGAGTTCCATTCGCTTTGCGAGCAAAGAGGACGGGTGCACCCCACGGGGAATTGCTGGGTTTAATGAAACCCAGTCTCAAGAACTTCTCAAGCTGATGCTTGAGCTCGGTGGCCTCTGGGATCGAGAGTCTATAGGGTGTCTGGTGGTGAACACGATAGTCAGGCACAAGCTGGATGGAGTGCTCGACGTCGTGCATCAGTGGGATGCCGGCGTACGAGAACGACGAAGGGAAAACGTCATGGTACTCTCGAATGAGGTCACGAACTGCGGGCTCCAGGTCAGCCGTATATCGTGCGAGTTCCTCAACGTCAGCGTCGGCGTGTGACGACGGGGTGGAATCGATGGATGGCGGGGGGTGGGAAATAGAGATGGGAGCCATGAAGATAGAAGGAGGATCTGGCTCCAGAGGGATGAGCTCGGCGTCGGGACAGGGTGGATCATAGTGTAAGAGATCCGTTTGGTTCACTATAAAGAATGTGTCGTCGTCCTGTCGGATGAAGTGGGCGAACTGCCGAGGCGAGGTGATAGTGATAGAAGGAGATGGAGTGGACACGGAAGGTTCCGGGGGAGGAGGATCGGGGCGTGGTGTCGCAGTGGTACCTATGAAAGGTACGCGATACGTCTGTCCATACTTCGTTTTGAGAACGAGAGTGTTGGTCGCCCAATCGACCTCGGTGTTGCGGAACCGACGAGACCACGGAGTACCGAGAATAAAATCGTACCCCGTCTCCATCACATCGAAATGTGTGGAGGAGCGGTGGCGACGAGACGCCGGGGGACAATCAGTCGGCTCGAGAGTGAGGAAGAAAGGGAGGTCGGTGACCGTCTGCTCGAAGAAGCGTTGGATCTTGTCATCCCCTAGGGTAACAGAGATGGGAGTCAGAAACCCTGTCGTGGGTAAGCGGGCTTCTTTCACCACACGTGGGTGAATGAAGTCGCCCTGAGAACCGGAATCCCACARCGCTGAGTACACCCTCGTGGAGGTCCGGAGTCATATGGGGATGATCGGGAGGGTGCGATCAGGGTCAGAGAGGATGGTGAGAAGGCGACGGAGTGCAACGACATGGAGGGTGAGTCGCTCCTTACGAGCCTGAAGCATGCTCAAGTCCAGAAGAGAGGACACAACGTCCTCGCGAGTAGCGAGTAGCGAGCTGCTCCCTGTATCGGGCTGAGCGAATGGCTCGACACGTCGGTAGTCGCGGCGGGGTAGGAGGGGAGATGGTGGTCTGCGGAGGAGCAGACGGTACTGCGACAGAGGGCTGAGTACATTTTGTCGGGTCCTGCGAGAGCTCAACTCCAGTAGCGAGAGGGACAAACCGTGACGAGGATGTCGGGGAGCCGACTACTGAGGAGGGCGCCGGTGTACACTACACCGTGGCTAGGAGGCGCCGCGGGGATGCGAGGCACCAGGGGGGGACTGAGAGCAGGTTAACCGAGCAGCCATTTTTCAGGTCCATTTATAAGAAAACCAGACAGTCATTTTAACAACACTTCACACCAATCTATAGAGTGCATTTCTTACGACCCCATCACAGAAAAAAACCCTAGAAAAAGCAATTAAAAACATATAAAACAGCAAGCCAAAGGTGTTTCAGAAATTTCAGGCCTGAAAACCAGATGCCCCGTTAACCTGTTGTGGAGAGCAGGTTAACCGAGATGCCCCGTTAACCTCTTGTGGGGGGACTGAGCACGACGCTGGCGGGAAAGGTCGGCGTAGTGGCGGTCAAGGGCGGCAGTGTAAGGGCATCGCGAGGAGGTATGACCGTCCTCACAGCAACGCAAGCACCAACGCTGGCCCAAAATGGTCGTGCGCTCCTCAGCAGAAAGCACACCGCGAGGAGGGACAAAGCCCTGAGGGAGGTCCTAATGAGGAACCTCGGGGGGCGACGCGCCAACGTGACCGTGACGGCTGCATGCCCGGGAGAGGGCGGAGAGGATGAGCTGGAGGCGCTCGGCCATAGGGAGAGCAGAGTCCTCCAGGTGGTAGTGGACGGCCTCGCCGAGGTCGAGGTCGTCGCTATGGTCACCCTCTAGCGAGAGCGGGGCAACAACGTCTTGCTCATCATACTCGAGCACGCTGAAGCGGTGCGAGAAGTGGCGGCCCTGCTGCGTGGAACGGCGGGGGCGACCGAGGAAAGGGGAACGGCGCTGGGAAGTGTCATGAGAGGAGGGGGAGGCGTAGCTAGTTCGCTGAGGCTGGGAGGAGGAGGCGGGGTGAAGACGGGCCCGCATCCGCTGATGGTCCCTGGCGGCCTCGTAAGCCTGCAGGGCCGATGTGAACTCGTACCGCCATAACTGGGAGCGGTACTTAAGCGGAAGGCTGGCCAAGAAACGATCGATAAGGGCAGCCTTAGGGAGGAACGCCACATCACAAATGAGGCAGGCGTCCTGAAAGACCTGGATGTGGCGATCCAGCCCGGCAACGCCACCAGAGCCGGACCAGCGTGTAGTGACAACACGCTCGAAGGCGTAAGTCACGTCATGTCGGGCTTCGAAGTGATCCTCGAGGAATGCCTCAAAATCCATGAAGGTCGGAGTCCGACCTGCATGAAGGGAGTAAGCGTAGAAATCCTCGCAGGCGTCAAAAGGACCGCCACGCAGGCGCATGGAGAGGTGACCCACCCACTTGTCAAGTGGGGCGCCCATGAGCTGGAGGGTGCAGGTGGCAGACTGTAGCCACCGAGACACATGTATGCCTATACCGTCATACAAGGCAATGTCTGTCAAGCGAACGAGTGGTGCGCCACTGTTTTTGCGGCGAGGGGGTCGAGGAGCAAAGGCCTGTGCCACGACTGAGTAAGTCGGCGCAGGTCTTGGAGGAAGGGGCGCAGCTGACTGTGCGCCCGGGCCGCATGGGGGAGCGGCGGGGGCAACAGCGGCAGGCTGCGAGGGAGTTGCGGTAGAAAAGGTCGCAGCAACCGCGGGAATATGAAGAAGGTAGGATGGGGCTGGATAGGGAGCAGGGCGAGGGAAGCGAGCCTGCATGGAAGGAAGGGTAGAGGAAGGAGGGGGTGCGCCCGAAGGCGCGGCCACCTGTGAGGGTGGGGGTGGCTGAAGGCGTAAGAGGGCGAGGTCGGCCCGGGTCTGGGCAAGCTCGTCCTCGAGACGTTGAACATAGATCGAGCGAGGAGTGGCAGGAGGATGAATGGGGGAGGTGGACGCACGAGCGGCGCGGGGCATCCCAGAGGGGGAAGAGCAAGGTGGTGCTGCAGTCGTGCAAAGGGGCGGGAGAAGAGGGGCACCCGGAAAAGCTGAGACCATGGTAGCGGGTTGTAGTCCCGTGGCCGTAGTGACCGGAATCTGGGCGGGTGCGCCCATAGACTCAGGGAGGGCCTGGCCCGTTGCGGCCGTCGTGCTAGGGGCGTGGACGGTCACCAAGATGACCGGGTCGTGGGCAGCGGAGGAGGAAGCTCCACCGTGGCCACCCTGTCGGAGGACTGGGGACCCGGACTGGGAGCTAGGAGAAGAGAGAGTGTCAGGAGAGGAAGGACAGGCAGCGTCCTGGAGTTGCTGCATGTCGGTGGCGAGGATCACCACTTGCGTCTGTAAGGGCTCGAGGATCATGAGTTGTGTCTGAATGGGCGCGAGGAGGGAAGTGAGGAGGTTGTGCAGATCCCCCTGGGGCTGATGGCCCTGGTCCGCCGGCACGGGTGTGGAGCCCGGTGCAGTGGTCGTCGCCGTGTCAGCGGCGTGTGACACACCGTCGACCATGGGGAGGTGACGGGCCGGACTGGAGGGGGCCAGAGGAGGTCCGCATGAGTGGAGGGCGTAAGGGGGGGGTCCGCGGTAGAAAGCGGCGGACGGCGCTAGCAAGGCTAGCGCGAGCGCCGTCAAAGGGGAAGGGGTGTTTAGGGTCCAGGGTGCCCGAATAGGAAGGGAAAGTAAGGGGGGGGGTTATAAAAACCCTAAACCCTAGAAAAAACCTCAGAAAACCATAACCGAAGTTTGAGTGGTTAGGGTAGGGTATCGGTGACCTAATCAAGAAAATAAGATAGCAAGCATAGGGGGGGGAAGGCGAAAGAAAAATAAATAAACAGTGAGATTTCAAGAGAAAAATAAAAATAAATAAGGAAATAAATAAATAATAAAAATAATTAAGGAAAAAAGGAAATAAAATACGAAGAGAGAAAGGATATTTATTTTTTTATAATTTTCAGCAACATTTCCCTACCCCCCATGGGGTCAAGAATGTACCAAGGGGAAAGGAGAGACCAAGATAAGCACACTAGGTTTAAAACTATCGTAAATAAAAAATTTCGAAAAAATAAATAAGTAAATGAGTGGATGAGGAGGTGGAGAGAAATGGGGTATCTTATTTTTCAAAACTTTTGGCAGCATTTCGTTACCACCATGGGGTCGAGTGTCCCGAAAACAACTAAGTAAGAGAAAAATAGAAAATTTTGGCAGCACTTCGTTACCCCCACAGGGTCAAAATGTGTGCCGAAAGCAAAAATGACCAACTCCTGGTCAGATTTAAGGGTGCCGCAAAGAAATTTGAATTTTCAAAAAAAATAAAATAAAATAATAATAAATCAGGAAATGAGAGAGGAGGGGGGGGAATAAGATAATTCAAACTTTGGGAGAAAAGGAGAGATTTAAATCAAAGAGAAATAAAAAAAGAAGAAAACATAAAAGAATCGAAGCAGGGGGGAAGGGGAATGAAAAAAATGAAGGAGAAAAGAGAGAAACAAGTGGGAGAGAGAGAAAGAGTGAAGGGAGAGGTAGGGATGAGAAAGGTGGAGAGGGATCAAGAAGCAGAGAGAAAAGAGGAGAAAGAAAAGAAATAAATGAAAAAAATAAAGGAGAATAGTAGGGTGGTGGGAGAAAAGGTGGGGTGGGGAGAGGGGTATAAGTAGTGAGAGTGATTAGAAGGGAGTGAGTGGGGTGAGTAAGAGGAGAGAGAGGAGGTAAAGAAAAGGGATTAGTAGGGAGAAGGAAGAGGGGAGTGATACCTGGCCCTTGGTGTCTCCAAGGGCACAAGGTATACCCAGACCAGGAGGGTTTTGGCCTTTATGGCAGCAAGCCAGCTGGAGGAAAGAGGGGGATGAGATCTTGATCAGCCCCTAGCAGCAGTACTGCAGATCTGCAGATCTAGGGTATGTTGTGTGAGCAGACCCTCACCAGTGTAGAGCAACCCCCTTAGGCAGGGGGATCTTCAGTTCAACAGCAAGCTGCTACGTGGCACTGCAGATGGCCACGTGCGCAGGCAGCAGCAGCCACCGGGGGGGGGGCGGGGCGAATAGCAGCCCCGCCGTTGTTGCTCTGCTGCTCGCTGCTCGCCGGCGCGGGGGAGGGGGGGGGGGGGAAGTAAATAGGTGGCACGCACCTCTTCAACAGCAGCCCGCCACACTACAGATCCATACATGCACTATGGCGAGCGTGTTATAAGAGTAGCTCACGCACACGCAAGCCTAGCAGGTGCCTGGATTCAAACCCCAACAGCAGCAAGATCCCAGATCTTGATAATATAAATCCGGGAGTGGGGCGGGGCGGGGCAGCATGGGCGGGTGGCTTGCGCGCGCGTGTGGCGACCTTGGCCTTGGCCCTTGCGCACATGCTCGTGGTGGTACGTGTTTTTTTTGCCACGTGTCACTTCCTGCTGCGGCTTCTTTTTTCCCTCGTTTTCGTCGTAAAACGGCCTGAAAACAACAAAAAAACCCGCCTGTCGGGTTTTGCTGTTTTCCCAGCTGTACGGAGTGGTGGGTGGGAGTGGGGAACGTTCCCGCTCC